ATAGCATACCCAGTTTGGGAAAGATCTGTTCTCCGCTGCTAAGGCTCACTCTTCTTTGCGTTTTGATATTACCAGAATCTTGCGAATCTGTCTCCTCTTCTAGGAATAACAGTTCAGTGTTTAGGCTACCCTCTTCCAGTATATCTCTTGGTTTTTGGAGGTCGATACTTCCCAAGATAATGGTTTCTTCCAAATCTGAATTGGAATCAGAAAGTTCATCGTCTGTCAATCTTTCCAAATCAGAGTCAAAAACCTCACTGCTCTTCACACTCCTGGGGTTATGGCGTTCCTGTTCCTTATGCGGCATCTTCTTCGATGGTCTCCACTGTAACGAGCTGGAGACCTTTGAGGGTCTCCGCTGTTCCTTATGCGGCATCTTGGCCTGTCCACCCATTCTTCCTTGTAAAGTTTCTTTTACAATGTGACTTTTAATTTTGTCCTCTACCAATTCACCATTCACTACCAGTTTTTTCAACAAATTTTCCCTGCTAGCAGTAGCTGTTTTGTGAAAGAACTCCATATTATTGTCACCATGTTTTAGCCAAAAACATTTAGACCACTGCCTCCATTTTATCTCCTCTTGAAAGTTTGTTTTGTCAAATTCCAGTTTGGCCCCTTGTCTCTGCCTTTTTTCTTCCTGTCCATCAGATAGAGTCCATAGGATTTACCACATCTTCAATCCCATTGTTCATATCAGCCATATATCCCACCTTGTCATGATTTTTCTTAGTTGATAATGGTCATCCACGATTTTTAACGTAAAGGCTAACCACAGAAGATGGTTCTTGAACATGTGGAAAGGTATTTTGGGATAATTTTTAAGGTGGGGAAAGTATTATGGAGATTTTTTTAAGCTCCAAATTAGTTTATCAGTAAAATATTCCTTGGTAGTTTAGAGAAGCTTGCTAATGACCGGATTAGTAAACCATTCCCTATGTGAAAACTGCAAAGAAGTAAGATAAATTAGTTGCATTCAGCTCAACCAGTATAGCATTTAATGGGGGAGGTCTGTTGAATCTCATTTTGCTTACCCCCCCACCCCACCCCACAATTAGATGAGGCAGACATGCTATGCCTAGGTGGATATTTCTCATCACATATCACTGAGTTGGTTGGCATGCATGATATTTATGTGCCAGATTCTATTCAAAATTGGAGAAGTCTCATTTTGGTTTGCCAGCATTTTGAGTTTGATGCAAGAATGTTTAATTTTCCAGCCATATATATATATATATATRTGAGAATAGGTAAAAGCATCATTTCTTTAATTCAAAATAATAAAAACCTTTGTACAACCAAAGGCTGTACATCGGGAGAGTACAAACAGAATTAGACCACAATCCTATTTGAGTTTTTCAACCTCAAAAAGAGAACTAAGGTTTGCTCTATCTATAAAGAACTGGGCTGATGACCAGGATAACAGCTTCCTCACTATTTTCTGCTACACTTCTTCTGCGGTACAGACAACCTTTGCTTTTGGAATAGCCTTTGCTTCCTCGCTATTTTCACAAAAGCTTCTGCTGAAACCGGACAGCAGCTCTTGATAGCAAAGATCCTGAACACTTTCTTTTTAGTAATCAATAACTGTAAACTTTCATTAAGATTAGGAAAATGGAATTGTACAAATAGTAAATATACATATAAAGACATTGAGAGATAAAAGGGCTTCACTCTCCCCTAGACAGCATCCCTTTCTTACAATTGTGCCCAGAACAGATCTTGACATCCCAACCCTTGTTTGGCTAAAGTATCTGCGATGGAATTAGATTTACACTTGCACCAACTGATGGAAATTTCCATGTCTCTTGTTAGCCACCTGAATTTTTTTCTTCTCATTATTATAGATCCACATTTTCATTTCCTCACTTCGGAGCTAGTTAACCACCAATTGTGTCCCCTTCCACTATTAATTTCCTCACATTCAAGATTTTGAACACTTTCACCCATATGTCATAGGTGAAACTGCAATGCAATAACAAGTGATCAACTGATTCTTCTGCCTGTTACATAAAACATAACACACGTTCTGGTGAATCAATCACCATTCCTCTCCTTGTAAGGTTGTTGTAAGAATCTTGTTCAGGTAGGCAGACCATACAAAAAAAGCCATGTAATGCATATTTGTGTGAGACATAATCCTGATTTCTGCCAATATCTTTGGAACTGGAATGTAAATTATATGCTGAACATGGAGAGGATATATAATGGCTAACTGGTTTTCACTAAATGATACTTCAACGTTTTTAGTGACTTGAGGGATTTTATGCCTGAGGCATGGTTTCTCTTGTACTCTTGTTTATTTCAATGTCTCCATGCATGACATGGTTTGGAGCAGTATGGATGTCTATGATTAGGCCTATGCTTGCCTATATAAAATTTTCTGTTTCATTTGGCCATTGTGTCAAAGATAGTAGAGAAAAGTTTTCATTGGCTTCTGTTGACTTGTAATTCTAGTAAATACCCTTGTTCCTGCATCAGTTGAATGCATGTATTTATGTATGTATGAACTGCTAATTTTGTAAATTTCCCCTCGCTCTTTCTGTTCATGCTTACTTTTTGGATGTTGTGTTTTACAATTCTATTGTTTTGGGTACCAACTTAGTGTAGTTTGAATTACATACCCAATTCTGTGCACATAAGCTGTATCATATAAGCTAAGCTTTAGAAATCTATGCATCTCTTTTTGGCATAGGTCCAATTCTTCTAGGTAACTATCCAATGAAAATTCACAGACATAAGCTACATCTTTTTTAATGTTTCAGGTTATGATTTAAAAAAAAATTAACATCATTCCATTAGGAGAGTTCTAATCTTAACCCATTTAATTGACCAATTTATGTGTCCATTTTCTGGTGACTGCTGACTAACAAATGCTAACCGGTACATCTTATTCTTGAAATTTACATTTTGGAGCAGAAATATTGCGTGTAACCACACTGTTGGGGAATGCATCACTTTTAGATCAAAGTGGGCTTGAACATGCTAGCCCCCTGACATCTGGAGGATTATTTTCAAATGGAGGAGGAGCTGATATGAATGGATGGGCATCAGCATTTCAATCAGAAGTACGGATACTAACCATTAACATAACTTCTTTTTCCATCTAATTTTACTACTCATTAGAAGCATTCCTGACAATTTTCTTACATCTACTACTAACCTTTTACGTTATATGAATGATGTAGATTGAATTTCCATTTTTGCTATGACAGGAAGACTGAGACTAACAATCATCAAGAACTAACAAATAGCTTAGCTTATGTGGTCTGGTTCCATTTACAATCCACTTCCCTTCCGTTTTGCAGACAAAATAGTTAACCTCTTAGATCTTCAAAATTTTTCTCCTTTAAAACCCCCAGTACTTTTTTTTTTATCAATAACACCAGCTTCATTAATTGAAACCTCCCATGAAATCAAACAAGGATTAGTCCAATATTCAGTAGTCTACTTCATATATGGACATGGCTGCATCGTTTCTGATTTCTGGATATTGCAGTGAGCCATAGCCACATTATTCATTCTGCTCTTCTTGGGTCTTACTTGTCCTAACAAGTTTTTGGGTGACCTTTTTTTTCTGTGGTATTGGCTTGATTGTTTTGAGGTTCTAATTTAGTTACGTTCATATGTTATTTTCTTTTGTATCCAGTTTGCACGTAAGCCCACACCATTTGATTGATAAGTTAAGGTAGTATAATCGCATCACAAAATGCGGTTCGTCACGTGGAGCTACATTTCTTTAGAGGATATAGAGTTCTAAATTTTCTGTGGTTATGCAAAAATGTTAGCATGATTTCTGGCTTTATACTTCTGTTGTTTGAATGTGTGCTTATTTGACTGTTAAGGGATATTTTAGAATTCATACATCATTTTTTCTCTTGCTGAATCTAATATTTGAAATTGCAGTAGTTTGTCTAAATGGAATGTTGTGGTAACATGCTTTTTCAAGTAGTTTTGCAGCTCTTACTGCTTAGTTCTGCTTAACATCATATGGGGTCTTTATATGCACAGAGGTTGGGACTATTACAGCCCTCACCAACACCAAGCTGGCTTGGATCACAGGGTAGCTCGTCTGGTCTCATTGTAAAGAAAACAATCCTGGTGGATGTTCCTGTGGACAAGTATCCCAATGTAAGTTAAAAAGGAAAACACTTTTCCATTTGATGCATTCTTATTTTGCAAGATTTGACAGACTTTTCCTTTATTAAACTTTTCAGTACAACTTTGTTGGCCGTCTTCTTGGTCCTAGAGGGAACTCTCTTAAGCGAGTTGAAGCAAGTACTGAATGCCGTGTCCTTATCAGAGGACGTGGGAGCATCAAAGATCCAACTCGGGTAATGATAGTATTTCTTTTCTGTGGTTTCTAATAACATGCATCTGGAGACACATCCGTTTTATTATCCATTCATGCGTATAGGACTCTAAAGAGAAGACGATACATGTTTTCCTACTGGCCTTTTTTTCTAATTCAAGACATGCAAGCTAAATTTAGATCTGTTTCCTTGACTTCCTATACCAGGCCCAGCAGAATTCTTACTAGCACACTACCAGACTCATGCACCAACATTACTCTGCCATCTCTGTTATGTTGATTAATGTCTGATTTTGCTCTAAATCCCAATATTTGGAGGAGAAGCCATTTTTTAATGGTTTTTAATTATGTACTCTGGACTCTGGTAGCATGTATGTATGGATGGATGGGGATATCACCTTTTTTTAGGATGACACAATATTGTCATGGCCTTGAGTTTCAAAGGAAAAAAGAGGTCCCATTCCGAGGTTAAAATAGCATAAAGCCATTTTTTCGTAATTTTAAACATGAAAATGTTGGAAAACTGCATGGTAACCTTTCATCAATTATCAATATTCTAGTAGTACAATACTTTTTGCTTTGGGTTGTTCCATTGCAACTTTAATCATGAAAATATCGGAAAAAAAATATTTCTTTCTAATTTTAATTATTGGAAGAGTAGTCATTAGAACACATCTATTTTTTTATAGTGGTGCCTTGACTGCCTTCTGTCTTTTCACAAGGGATGTGCTCCTTTTTTTATTAAAATTGGGATTTACAGTCCTCAACAAATATCATCATTGATTCTTAAAGTTTGTTGCTACTTTCTTTGATAGGAAGAAATGATGAGAGGAAAACCAGGATATGAGCATTTAAATGAACCTCTCCACATACTCGTGGAGGCAGAATTGCCAGTCGAAATAGTTGATGCCCGTTTAATGCAAGCACGTGAGATCCTTGAAGATTTACTCAAACCTGTGGTAAATTTGCTGCCTCCATTCTGCTAACTCCGAATTTGTATCTCTTGAAATGGCTTAATTTATAGTTTCTATTGCATTATTCTCTTTACTTGCCTAATAGAAATTCCCTCTTTTCCAGGATGAATGTCAGGATTTCTTTAAGAAGCAACAGCTTAGAGAGCTAGCAATGCTCAATGGTACACTCCGTGAGGAAGGCTCGCATTTGTCTGGTTCTGTGTCCCCCTTCAATAACAGTCTAGGCATGAAGAGGGCGAAGACAAGGGGGTAAAACCGTAAAAGTACATCCTTCTTAAGTGGGCCTGTTGGAGCTTGTGTCTTGTTTATCTCCTATGCCAGCCGAATCCCATGTGGTGGGTGTCAGTCTGGCTTATGCCCTCGAGGCACTGGGAATGATGCATATGTTTGATTCCAACTCTTTCCATTTCAAGTGTGTTAAATCTGCCATATGGGGTGGGGGGAGATTGATGATAGTACCAGTAGTGGAGGGCCATTTTGGGTTCTGTGAGGTCTCTCTTTCTCTCTCTCTCTCTCTCTCTGTTTGGTTGGACAGGATCTCAATCTGCGTCTTGTATTGTTGGTATTTATGGTATGCTTGCCTTGATATTTCTAGTATACGTTGGTGGGGGATGGGAGTTTATTGTAAAGAAGGATCAAGATTTGGTTTGTGCACAAGGGTGAGATTACAATAGTACATCCCCTAACGCAGCTAGTGGACTTTGTATTGTTACGCACTGACTTTAGTTTGTATTAAGTTTCTGAGATGTCATTCATTCGCTTTTATTTCCACTCATTCTCAATTTATCATTATTCTACTTTCCCTGCATTTACTTTCTGGATGGTGCACACTGTTCAGATGTCCCTGGGTTTCAAATGCACCTGCATCGTATGTTTTCTTTTTAGGCTGCATTTGGAAACGATGCAAATGGAGTGTAAATCCCGGTTTAGGGTAAATTTACACTTTGGTTTACTTTTGCCTGTGTTTGACAACATTACATTTATGTATTGACTAATGAAAAAATCCATTTTTCAATGTATATTTATATTGATAATAAGATGAAAAAGTACATCAATAAAAAAAAGTAAATTTGTATTCAAGTGGGGTTTTGATAAAAAGGGTATATGTGTTATTGGAATTCGTGTTTGCATCCATTATAGTTAAAAGTCTGTTTGGTAATATGGTAAATTTGTTATTGCAAAACTAACCCAATTTTGCAATTTATATGAACTGTTTTTCACTCTACATATTTGCATCATTTCCAAACAATCTTAATGATTTTGATCATTTGTTAATACCTAGAAATTGATGCATATATTGCATCTTAAAATCCTTCCCATTGTTGTTACCCAAAAAAAAATCCTTCTCATTGCATAAACTCTTGCATGGGCAGAGCTGAATATGTAGATATTATTACAAATTACTACAAAGTACAAACCCTATTCCACCCTAAAACAAAAGAAAAATATACAACTTGCAGCTTTTACACCATTGAAATCTAGAAAACACTGATAAAAAAATTGTTTAATTTATCTAGAAAACACCATTGATAAAATAAAAACAAATGAAACCTAAAAACTAAAAATTAGAGATTCATGTCGGTTTTGAAACAACCAATGAGAGATTCTCCTTTACCCATAAACGTCTACYTGAACTCTCTCTCTCTCTCTCACACACACACACACGTGTTCGAATTAAGCTACCTAAACTACTTCCACCATTTAGGACTTCATCCTAAAACATCTGATCTACCTCACAATAAATCATCTAATTCTAACACCTCTTTCTCACCCCCTATCTTTTTCTTTATTTATTCTTATCTCTATCTCTCTTTATCTTCTAAATACATATATTTAATTCTTCATTAATGTATTGGAATATTAATGTTTAAGTTAAAACTAAAAAAAAAAAAACAGAACTTAAACATTGAAATAAGATGTGTAAAAATATCTAAAATACTAATAAGAGAAAAAATAAATAATACAATAAAACAAATAAAAAAACTAAAGTAATAAAATTAATAATTAACTATAACAATTTTATAACTACAAAGTAATAAAACTTAATTTCAATTTAAAAATTATTAACATAACAGAAATTCAAAACAAATTATTATTTTTTAATTTTAACAATAATAATTGTTAAAATTAATTACAACAATATTATACTTTATTATATAATAAAAGGTTCTAACTTTATTATAAGTTTTAAGCAATAATAAACTTAGCATAAAATCATAACTTAAAATTACACATCAATAACAATTTACTAAAAAATTAAAATTTAATAAGAGAAAAAATATTAATTTAAATTGAAATTCAAGTTTAAAATAATAAAAAATAAACATAACAAATTTGGCTTAGTATAGGTATGCCTTCACTCTACCCAGACCCCTCATTTTGCCACATCATTAGACTCTAAGCTTCTTGCCACATCACCCTACCTTCTATTTCATTGCCATAACAAAAGCAAAACCTTTCTAAACATTAAGCGTATAAGATAATTGAGATATCAATTTATTTTGATATTTTTAGTAATTAATACACATTTTTTTTTAAATTATTTATTCAAATAAATTTGTTTATTTACTAGTGGGACCCATGCGATGCACGAAATTTGTTAAGCGAAAACAAAATAATAGAAAAATAAAATAATTAATTTCAGCTAGGGTTGTTCATCAAACTGATGAAAACCGACCAACCTGACCAACTCGACCCGAGTTGGTTGGTTTTCTAGTATTTTCGATCGGCTTTGGTTCAACAATTTTCCACCCTGACCAAGTTGGAACTTTGGCCATTTGTAAATTGACCAAAATCGAATGACCCGACCATAGATATATATTAATATTTTATATTTTTAGTATAGCTTTTTTAATATGGGAAATGGGAAAATTCTCATATTTGTTAGTTTAAAATAGTTTATATCATAAATTTAATTTTTTAAGTTTAATCTTTTAAACCGATCAACCAAACCGATGCAAATCGACACAACTCGAGTTGGCCGATTTTCACTAATGGTCAATCGGTTTTAGGTGGCCAACTCCCCAACCTGACCAGGTCAATTTAGTTGTCCAAGCAACTTACAATCAAATTGAACCAACCCGCGAACACTCATAATTTCGACTAAGTTTATACTCTAATCTCTAATAAATAATAATAGTTTAATCTCCAATAGTCATTCTTCCYGAGTCAGGTAGCCACAAGATGCACTTGATGTAGATTTTTCATTATTGGATTTTGCTATCTCTATTGATGAGAATATGATTCTTACTGCTGTACCAGATGATTTGGAAATTAAGCAGACTCTTTTCAGTATAGCTCCTCTTAAGGGTCCTGGGCCCGATGGGCTGCATGCATTATTTTTTCAAAATGGATGGTCAATAATTGGTGAAGACTTGCCGGTTCATCAAAAGTTTATTTTTGCAACCTTCTCTCGTTGTCACTATCAATGAATCTCACATTGTTTTGCTTCCAAAAAAAGGATACAATGGAGACTGCTGGTGATTTCCATCCAATAGGTTTGGGAAATGTTTCTTAGTTGTTGCTAAGATTCTTGCTTGTAGATTGAAAGGTTTTTTAAAATGATTTTTTTCTCCATTCCAAAATGCTTTTAGTGGTGCCACTGGTTTTTTTTTTTTTTTGGCTCAAAATTGCTCTCTCTAAATAATATGATAAGGTCGAATGGGATTTTCTACTGCATAGTTTATTTGCTCAGGTTTTTCTTTGGCCTTTTGTGATTTGACCAAGCAATACTTTATCGGTCAGATCCATGAAAATCCTACTAAATGGAAACTCGGGGTCTCTGTCAAGTTGTTCATTGTCTCTATATTTGTTATCTCTGTCAAGGTTGTTCATTGTCTCTGTCAAGGTTGTCAAGGTTGTTTATCTRTTATCTCGGATGCTAACAAAATCATTGTAGAGTGGAGACCTAAAGGCTTCAAATTTGGGCACTCCCATGTTCACCAAAATCATCTATTGTTTGCGCTAGTGGGGGAGGCCACAATTGCTGAGGTAAATACCATCAAAGCTATTTTAACTCAGTTTCTGTAGTTGGTCGGGTCAGGTGGTGAAATATGAGAAATCATCCATCCGTTTTTGTAGAAATACCCCTTAAAATGTGAAGAATTTTATTATGAATTTGTTGGGTGTTGTGGAGATGATTAATGTAGATTTTTATTTGGGTGGATACTTCTGAATGCCTCAAGTCACTCATCATCTTGGCAATTTTTAATTGATAAAGCTCGGTTGAAACTCGAAGGGTGGAAGTCTAATGTCCTCTCGCATGCAAGTAGGAGTGTAGGACAACTCTTATAAAGTCTACACCATGGTTTTTAAAACCGACTGGTGATCGAACCAATCAGGGTCCGCTTACTAGGTCGAACGGTCTGACTGTTACCAAACACTTGGACCGTTTTAATAAAAAAAATAAAAAATAGTCAAAACTGTGCGAACGATTAATTGCCTGGTTCAGTGGTTCATTGACCAAAATCAACGGTTTTGGGGGGAAATCCGGTTTTTTGAGAAAATGGAACTGGTCACCGGTTTTTCCGGTCCAGTTTTGAAAACCATGGTCTACACTTTTTGCATTGCCTCTTTTTTAAATGTCAATATGTTCTCTTCCTGTCTCTATCGGTAAAGCACTAAATGCCATATGTCGTGACTTTTGGTAGGTTACTATGATTGACAACCGATATATTTAAGGTGGAACTAAGATTTCTATGAATTACTATGGTTAGCATGATTCATGGTCAGAATTCATTCCATCTGTACAGTGGAGCTAAGATTTCTAGGGGTAGACTGAACAATAAAAACMCTTATATTTAAAAGCATGGAATTCTTTTTTACGGCCTATGGACAGAGAAGAATTGGGTTTTCGGGACCCACATTTGATGAATAAGTCTCTCATCAATAAAATTTCTTGGGGTTTCATGTGTGAATAAGTCTCTCATCACCTCCTTCATTTGTAAGGTTGAAACGCCCTGCCATTTTGAGAAATAATCTTGTTGTAAGTTGAATGAATGTGTTTTTTAGGCTTAAAAAAATGGCGGGCCTATTTGCGTCAAATAAAAAACCATAAAGCTCTTTTTAGAAATAGTACAARTGAAAATATGTACCGTGCAAATACATACAAAATAATAAAAAATAAAAGATTTTTCACTCTACATATTTGCATTTGCACTCCTTCCAAACTGAACTTAAAGTATATGTAAATAATTTAACCCTTCAAAATGGATAATTATTCTCTAGGAAGTTAACAAATTGCAGTCCCCAAACTCTATTGAAAAAGCAAGTTACCCAACAAAAATGCAGCCCCACTAGGATGTTCATTTTCAACTTGGCTCCACCTGCCCATAATAATAACATATATATTTTTTATTGTATAAATAAAAGTTATACATATATTATGCAAAATATAATATAACATGTTATATAATTAATCTATTCTATATATATAAAGCGATTAAGTTCACGTGTCAATGTGTCATTCTACTCTCTTTTAAAACTTCCTCCAAAATTCCCATTCTAATTTTCTGGATTTTTTTGAATATTCATAATTTTTAAAGCCACCTAATTGGGGAATCCAATCAATGGCAACCGTGTTCCAATATTTGAGAAAGTTTAAAACCACTTTGCTCCTAAAATTTCCTCGTCTATCTTCTCTCTCTCAAATTAATTAGAAAACTATATCCCACATTTTTCTCCTAAAATCCCATACCCCTTCTACTCTCTTTTCAATAAACCTTCTCCATCATGTCCCTTAAATAATTAGATTACACTTCTCAACTACCCCA